GATGGGACACTGCACGAACGCGCCCAGAGTGTTTTCAATAAAGTAGGGTCGGTCCTCTCTGCGGATTCCTTTGATTTCGACGTTCATTACATTCTTTTTACTCTTCATGATTTGAGTTAGCTCTTTCGCACAGCCTGGCCTCGTGGTTACCACAATGCGTGTGGTGCCACAATTGTTCAGAAGATCGGTTATCAATTTTTTGGCCTTCTTGCTCACTTCGTCATAACCGTCTAACAAGATAACAACTTGCATTGTCTGGAATAAATCCGCAAAGATATCAGTGGTAAGTCCAGAGCCCTGAAATGTGTTATGAAGGAGATGCTTCAGCAGGTCATTCCAACTGCTGATTGTGCAGCCACGGAGTTGTAGGTAAAGCAGGGGAGAAACGTCTTGAAGTCCCTCAATTTGCGAAGGATCTCTCACCCACATCTCCAGCATGTGCTTCAGCAGCGTGGTTTTCCCTATTCCTCCTTCGCCTGATATTATAATCACTTCAGGAAGGCGACCATTTCGCTGCTTAACCTGCAGCAGATTCTCGTGGGAAATGTCACTGGGTTGATGCTTCTGCTCCTGAGATGGCGACAGAGTGGACGTGTCTTCCACGATCACCAGGTTGGTGAAGTTTAGACTGGGTTGGATTTTCAGATCCGGATACAGCCACTGTGCGAGAGTCACATCCCACAGGTGAGGGTAGAAAGCAAACAACTCTTGTCGACTCTCCTGCTGGACGTTCTGCCGAAGGATATCCTGAAAATTTCTAATCTCTTGCTGCAGTTGCGGCAGTTCGCCCAAGTCAGTAGCTTGGAGGGGCTCTCTGACTTTCCGCAGGAGGTCGCGGAAATCCTGCTTGATTCCCCAGATCTCATCCCGAAAGACATGAGGTCGGATCCCGCGTCGGATCCCGGCCAGTCGAAGGATCCTGGAGAATAAGCGGCCGAGTTTCCTCAATTCTTTCGTAAGCCTTTGGTCTGACATCTGCTGGACGTCATTCGTGTGTGCTATGTTGTTCCTCTTCTGCTTAACCTTATACAAAAGGTGCTCTAGAGGTTGACCTGCCGGGGGGGAGGTCCATGCAGGGTCACTGGAACGAGCCAGTCCACACATGAGTTGGAGAATGATATAGAGCAGTGAGATGTCGTACTGCCTAAACGGGGCACCATTCTCTAACAAATGTCTCTGTTCGCTGTTGAACTTCTGCTTAAAGCTTGCTCTTGAGTTTCCCAAACTAAGGAAGTGAGTCTTAACACACGGCCCCCCTTGGTACAGCCACTCGACCGCCTGCACGAACACGGCGCGGCCCTTGGTGATCATAGCCACCTGGTACCGGAAGCCATTGACCGTGTGCCTTGTGAGTTGGGTGGTGGCGCGGGGGGGTCGCTGCGGGGTCGCCATCCTCCCTGAATCTCCAGGACTCTCTCTACCTGTGCCACCCTGTACTTCTGCGGTCTGCGTGGACGAGGAGACAACTGATTCTGCGCCGGAGAGAATGAATGCCTTTAGCTGCGCATGGACGATTTACTTCACTCCGCTTGCTTGAATATTTCATAATCTGAAGAGCAGAATAAATAAGATAATTAAAATGCAAATTATTTGTATGGCTTTCAAGGCCGCACGCCTTTCAATCAACTCTTGTTCATCCAAGCACACTATGTGTGTGTGTGTGGTTTTATATATACACGTGTGTGTGTGTGGTTTTATATATACACGTGTGTGTGTGTGGTTTTATATATACACGTGTGGATATATATACATATATACACACACACACACACACACATACATATATATATAATATATATATATATATATATATAATATATATATATATATATATATATATATATATATATATAATGTATATATATATATATATATATATATATATATATATATATATATATATATATATATATATATATATATGATATATAATATATATATATATATATATATATATAATATATATATATATATATAAGGGGTGCAAAAGGTCTACATTATCACATCAATACTATATACTTGCAATTCATTACAGTTATCCTCACATGAATTTATCATAACCACAATAATACTTTTATCGTAACCTTTACTTTTTTTTTTTTTTTGTTAAATCCAATGTTTTGCAGGCGTCCCACCGTGGCGGGTTACCTTATCCTGGAAGACAGAGCTGAGTGAGCGTGAGCAGCGGAGGGAGACCTCACGACGCCTCCGCCACGAAACATTTTCTATCCAAAAGAATGAAAGTTACAATCAAAGTATTATTATTATGATACATGTATTAATATTGTAAGGTGGTCTTGGATGCTGCATCTCATCCTCTCCGCTCTCCCGCTCTGACTGCCGTGTTGGAGGATTGTCTGTTATGTCTCACCTCGGATTTGGGTTGTTTTTCTCGATTTTATTTACTTTTATTGTTTTGTTTTAGTTTCCCCTTTTTATTGTGTGTTTTCTCTGAGAATTTTTTTTATGATTTAACGAGACATTTTTATGACCCTTTTAT